CGTGGGGCTTCCCAGAGCGGAAGGCCCGTGCCTGGGGAATCCGAGCCCCGCTGCCTGCCGGAGCCTCCCGGGGCGCTCGCGGCGTGATGTCGCCGGTCCTTGCAGGGCCCGTGGGCGCCGTGTCCTGCCCTGCCTGACGCTGAAGACCGGCGCTGGTTCTCCCTGAACCGTCCGTCCCGCCGACGCCTACGCGCCTTTCCTGTTTTGGGGGGTCCTGTCTCGCTCTGTCGCCTGGGCTGGGGCGCAGGGGCACGCTCACGGCCACGCTCACGGCCCCCGCAGCCCCGACCTGCTGGGCTTGGGCCATCCTTCTGCTTCAGCCGGGCAAGCAGCTGGAACTGCAGATGCACGCCACTGCGCCCGGCTGGTCTTTGTGGCTTCTTGTAGAGAGGAGGTCTCGCCAAGTTGCCCAAGCTGGTCTCAGACCCTGGACTCAGGCAGTCCTCGGGCCTCTGCCTCCTGCAGTGCTGGTATTGCAGGTGTGAGCCACCACGCCCAGCCTACTCCCCTTTCAGTGGTGGTGGAGACGGACCCTTGCGCCGCATCCCCAACGGTGTTCACAGGAAGGTTGTTCTTTGGTTGGGATTTCAGATTCGGGAAACTTCTTGGCCTGTGGGGTGGCGCCCCCTCTGCCCGGGTTGGAGGAGCACCAGCGGCTCAGGACCTGAAGATGGCTTGAGCCGTGTGGGAGGCTGCATTTCTCTTTTCCCTTCTCCTTTTGTCCGCTTTGCAGAGATGGGTGTTTTCTTTGACTAGTCTCCAGGTGGGGACAAGCTGCCTTACGTTTTCTGTTTCAGATGTGATTGGCCGTGTTGGCTCTCCATTTCAGTGGTGTCTGTGAGTTAGCTCATTAGCTTCCAGTCTGACGTCTTCTCTTGTACTCACAGTCTAGTGCTGGAAGACGACACCACCTGAGGTCACCACCTGCCTTCGACTGCAAAAGCTGGCCTGGTGTTCCCAGTTGCTCATTTTTGCTGTCTGCTTTGTCTTGACCAAACTGTAGTCAGGCTTCTCTTTCCTTACAAGACCCTGAACTCTTGCTTGCTCCTAGATCTGGCAAACCCTAAAAAAGTGGGCATCTTCTGGGAACTGGCTGACCACAGAGGAACCACTGGTCATTTCCCTTGCTTGTCCAGGTCTCCCCTCCAGAGATGCTAGAGGGAAAACCTTGTTGTCATTCCTTTACTCTAGAAAAGAAAAATCTTTTTCTGTTTGATTATGAGCTTCTTGCAGATTGTTTAGATGATTTTTCTCCCTATGCACTAATCTTTCTTTTTTCCTTTTTTTTTTTTTAAGACCCGGTCTCACTCTCACCCAGACTGGAGTTCAGTGGCACAGTCATAGTTCAAAGCTCATTGCAGCCTCAAACTTTTGGGCTCAAGTGATCCTCCTGCCTCAGCCTCCCAAGTACTATACCTGGTTAATTTTTTACAAGTTTTTTGTAGAGATGGGTCTTGCTATGTTGCCCAGGCTGGTCTCAAACAAACTCTTAGGCTCAATCAATCCTCTTGGCTTGGCCTCTCAAAGTGCTGGCATTATAGATGTGAATCACTGCACCTGGTCCGCAGTAGTCTTTCTTTTTCTTTTTTTTTTTTTGAGTCAGGGTCTCACTTTTGTCACCCAGGCTGGAGTGCAGGGCTCGCTCATGGCCACCGCATCCTCGACCTGCTGGGCTTAGGCCTTCCTTCTGCCTCAGCCTTCCAAGTAGCTGGAATTACAGGCACACGCCACTACGTCCAGCTAATTTTTTGATTTATTGTAGAGACAAGGCCTCACCATGTTGCCCAGTCTGGTCTCAAACCCGTGGACTCAGACAATCCTCTGGCCTCTGCTTCCTAGAGTGCTGGGATTACAGTTGTGAGCCCCATGCCTGGCTTATTCTTTTTATTTTAATAGCGTGAATTTTTTTGCATTGAATAAGTATTTTTTGTTATTAAAAAATTCATAAGATGCCTTTTTTTTAGTGGGAGTCTCAGTCTGTCACCCAGTCCACAGCCTCAATCTCCTGGGCTCTGGCAGTCCTTCCACCTCAGTCTTCCAAGTAGCTGGAACCACAGGCATGTACGACCATGCCTGGCTAATTCTATTTATTTATTTATTGTAGAGAAGTGGTCTTACCATGTTGCTCAGGCTGGTCTTGAACCCCTGGGCTCAGGCAGTCGTTTCACCTCTTCCTCCCAAAGGGCTGGATTGTCTGAGTAATGCTCAGTTGCTAATCCTCTGAGGCAGAAAAACTGGTAGAAAGAATCCAGGGAGCAGAGCCAGGTTCCTGGACTTTCTAAAATTGTTCTGCTTACCTTTCAAGTTTTACAGCCTGCTTTGATATTTTTATTTTTATTTTTATTTTTTGAGTTGGAGTCCCACTCTTGTTGCCCAGGCTGGAGTGCGGTGGCATGCTCACAGCCACTGCAGCCTTGACCTGCTGGGCTTGGGCGATCCTTCCACCTCAGTCTTCCAAGTAGCTGGAACTACAGACGTACACCACCACATCTGCTAGTTTTTGTGATTTATTGTAGAGACAAGGTCTCACCAAGTTGCCTGGGCTGGTCGTGACCCCCCGGGCTCAGGCAGTCCTCTTGCCTTAGCCTCCCAAAGTGCTGGGATTACAGGCTGAGCCACTGCCCCTGGCCTACGGTCTGCTTTTATAAGTTCAGGATTGTTGGTACCTATATGTTTACTAGGTGACTGGCAAAGCATTGTACAGATCTTAAATTACAGCCACATGTTGTCAGTAATGAGTTTTATGGTCCACATTTTCTGGCACTGGTTACCAGAGGTATCTCACAGCTTTTTACCAGTAATACCTGGTGTGATGGTCTGAGTAACTGCTCAGCTGCTCTCCCTTGATACCAATAAATCAAAGAGACAGGGAACTGGTAGGAAGAGTTTTATTTCTGAATTCGAATTCGGGGAGCTGAGTGGGCTTTTGGTTCAGCTCACCCTTTACAGTCCCCTTTTATAAGTTCAGGGTAGTTGGTACCAATATATTAACTACATGACTAGCAGAGCATTGTATAGAACCTAAGTTACAGCCACATTTTGTCAATAATGACATTTTATGGTCCACATTTTCTGGTGCCAGTTACCAGAGGTATCTCACAGCTTTTTTATCCGTAACACCTGCAGAAGTATTAATCAAGTTTGCCATAGAGTAAAGGGAGTTAACAGGGCCTAAGACATTATACACTGTTACATCATACATGTTGTTATTTGCAAAAGTTATACAAATCACAAGACTTGTGATTATATTGATACAAAAGTTATACAAACCTGTGACTATTAAGAAAAGGGAGTAAATGGGGATTTACATCTCAGTTATTTGGGCACAGTCTGCCGGGAAGTTAAGTGTTCTTTGAAGTTACTGGGAGTGCACAGGAGATAAGGGGAAGCACCCCTTTTGTTAGCAGCAGGAATGTGGGTAGGCGTGGCCTGCCTTATCCCTCCTCACCATGCCCTCCTCTAGGGACTGTGGCGAAATGGACAGACAGTAGCGATATGGACAGACAATAGTGGGTCTCCATATCAGGATTACAGAAGTGAGCCACCACACCTGGCCAGGATGTTTTTTGTTTTGTTTTGTTTTGTTTTTGTTTTTGTTTTGAATTGGAGTCTCACTCTTTTGCCCAGGCTGGAGTGCAGTGGCACACTCATAGCCATTGCAGCCTCTACCTGCTGGACTCAGGTGATCCTTCCACCTCAGCCTTCCAAGTAGCTGAAAATACAGGCATGCACAACCATGCCTGGCTTATTTTTTGATTTATTGTAAAGACAAGGTCTCACCAAGTTGCCCAGGCTGGCCTCGAACCCCCAGGCTCAGGCAATCCTCTCATCTCAACTTCCCAAAGTGCTGGGATTATAGGCTGAGCCACCGCCCCAGCCCAAGATGCTATTATTTTTAAATAGTTAAGTTTTTTTTTTTTTTTGAAAAGCTGCTTCCTCATTTTCTCTTTTTACCTGTAGAAAGAAGTTTTTTTTGTTTGTTTGTTTACTTGAAAGTAGTCCAGAGTTCTGGAATCTAAAGTTAGGAAGGATTAGAATTAACTTTATAAATAGAGAAATGAAATAACCACCTATATATATAACTTTTATATCACAGAATATTAAGCGCTTTCCAAGGAGGTTTTAGAAAAATCAACCCTCTGGGCTCCCCTCAGGCTGTGGTTTTAACATGATGATTCTAAGAGCGATAGACTGAAGTTTTCTTCCCTATCTTCACCCCAAACCCTACCTGTTTAAAAGGAAGGTCCTGACCTGGGAAAACCCACTGGTAGTCAGGTTTCACTTTACTTTTTGCACCTGATCTTTCTTGCAAATAATTTATGCAGATAACTTTCTTTTTATTAATTATTTTTAAAATTATTTTTATAATTATTTTTTGTAGAAAAGGAGCCCTCACAATGTTGCCTAGGCTAGTCTCAAATTCCTGGCCTCAAGGGCTCCTCCTGCCTAAGTCTCCCAGAGTGTTGGAACTATAGGTGTAAGCCACTGTGTCTGGCATACACAATTTTAAAATTTTCACTAGAGCTATCAAAAAATGCTTTTTGGTTTAGTTATCTAATTAAAGTGAAGAATTTACAAGTCAAAAGTCAAAAAAGTGGTACTTGCCACAGTCCATCACCTGTAGTGGGTGCTTACATAAATGTTGATCTGAATAAATTATGGTGCACACAAATAGAAATAAATCAAAAAGCCTTTGTTGTATATATTGAATTTCTTTGTCTTTTTTCTCCTTTTTCTTCCATAGGAAAAAAGGTCACAGGCTCATTACTGCCCTTTCTTGATGAGTCTCATTTTGAAAAACTTGGATTAAGGTAAGAACGATGAAGTTCCCATTGTAGCCAAACTCACCTTATCCATCTTTGGGGGACAAAGCCCAAAGTCTCTGGTATTACCTGTCTTTGTTCTTTTCTGTTTGCTTGTTTCTAGAGACAAGATCTTACTCTTTGTCACCCAGGCTGGAGTGCAGTGGTGCACATTTTTTTTTTCTGAGTTGGAGTCTCATACTTGTTGTGCAGGCTAGAGTGCAACGGCACACTCATGGCCACTGCAGCCTCCACCTGCTGAACTTAGCTGACCCTTCCGCCTCAGCCTTCCAAGTAGCTGGAACTGCAGACACACGCCACCCCATCCGGCTAATATTTTTTCGTGATTTGTTGTAGAGACAAGGTCTCACCAAATTTCCCAGGCAGGTTTCTAACCCGTGGGCTCAGGCAATCCTCTTGCCTCGACCTCCCAAAGTGTGCTGGGATTACAGGCTGAGCCACTGTGCCCAGCCGCAGTGGTGCAATTATAGCTCACTGTAATCTTGAGTTCCTGGACCCAAGCTATCCTCCCACCTCAGCCTCCTGAATAACTGGGACTACAGGCACACACTGCTGCTCCAGGCTAATTTTATAGCTAATATACATATAAATGTTAAATGTACATAAACATACACACCTGTATATATATATATATACATATATATATATATATATATATATATATATATATATATATACACACACACACACGCACATCACACATATATACTTTGAACTCTTGACCTCAAGCAAGCTTCCCTCTTTGGCTTCCCAAAGTTCTAGGATTACAGGCATGAGCTACCATACCTGGTACCTGTGTGCCATTTTAAATATGTGGTTGTTTTTTTTTTTTTTGAGTTGGAGTCTCACTCCATTGCCCAGGCTCATGGCCACTCCAGCATCGACCTGCTGGGTTCAGGTGAGCCTTCTGCCTCAGCCTTTCAAGTAGCCAGAACTACAGGTGCATGCTACCACACCCGGCTAATTTTTTTATTTTATTGTAGTGATGAGGTCTCGCAAAGTTGCCCAGGCTGTTCTCGAACCCGTGGGTGTAGGCAGTCCCCCACCTCGGCCTCCCGAAGTGCTGGGATTACAGGCTTGAACCACCTGTAAAACCCAGCCTGTGCAGTTTTTAAAAACAGAATCCCCTGTCTGCTGTTTGTTTTTGTCGTACTAGTCCTGTGTTTAAATTACTGATGATTTCTATTTTAAAGAATTTTGAACCAGGCTTGGTGGCTCAGTCTGTAATCCCACGCCTTGGGAGGCTGAGGTGAGTGGATTGCCTGAGCCCACGGATTCGAGACCCGCCTGGGCAACTTGGCGAAAACTCATCTCTACAATAAATCAAAAAATCAGCCGGGCATGGTAGCGCATACCTGTAATTCCAGCTACTCAGAAGGCTGAGGTGGAAGGATCGCTGGAGCCCAGCAGGTCGAGTCTGCAGTGACTGGGAGCAGCCACTGTACTCCAGTCTGGGCAACAGAGTGAGACTCCAACTCAAAAAAAAAAAAGAATTTTGGGGCTGGGCTCGGTGGCTCATCCTGTAATCCCAGCACTTTGGGAAGCAGAGGTGAATGGATTGCCTGAACCCGCAGGTTTGAGACCCACCATGCAACTTGGCGAGACCTCATCTCTACAATAAATTTTTTAAAATGAGCTGGGCATGGTAGCCCATGCCTGTAGTTCCTGCTACTTGGGAGACTGAGGCAAGAGGATTACTTGAGCCCAGAAGGCCGAGGCTACACTGAGTTGCAGTTGTGCCACTTCACTCCAGCCTGGGCAACAAAGTGAGACCCGGACTCAAAAATAAAGAATTTCATAGAAGCCGGGCTCGGTGGCTCAGCCTGTAATCCCGCTCCTTTGGGAGGTGGAGGTGAGTGGATTGCCTGAGCCCACGGGTTCGAGACCCGCCTGGGCAGCGAGACCTCATCTCTACAATAAATCAAAAAATCAGCCGGGCATGGTAGCACAGGCCTGTAATTCCGGCTACTCGGAAGGCTGAGGAGGAAGGATCACCGGAGCCCAGCAGGTCGAGGTTGCGGTGGCCGGAAGCGGCCACTGCACT